GGAAGTGGACAGTTTCATATATTGCACTGGTAACGACTCAATATATTCGGAATATTTAATGAAACTCGACTTTCATTATTTATAATAATTTATTTTTGTCAGGTTACAAATTCACGTATCCCTTTATGTCAACTAAAGTTGAGATACGTACGGATGATAACCACGTGGAACCCATCTACAAACATCTGGTGCACATGGATTACACGAGTCTGTTCTTCATGGGTTTACCAGCGATCGTGGTACCATTCCCAATGTTCCACATTCAAGCACAATACATTCTCGCAGTTCTCGAAGGCCGTATTCAATTGCCATCGCCGCAAAGAATGCGCGAGGAATACGAGATCGAGAAGAAGTCACTATTGGAGCAAGGCATTCAGGTAAGATTCGCGATTAATTTCTCCAATGTCTCCGCGATAGAAAAAAAGTTGCATCTTAAGAAATGTGGTGGTAGAATAGCGAAAAGTTGTTCTTTTTTAAAAAAGAAACATAATATAATATACATACATGTGATATACTAGCGCATAAATTTATCTAAAAAAGATGACATTACATTACAATAATTACTTTCTTCATTGTTAGCTGAGACATATCAATAAACTCAAAGACAGGCAATGGGCTTACTACGACGAGATCGCGGCCGCTGCCAATGTGCCGAGTTTTCCACCGGTGATCAGGAAAATCTTCGATCACGTTAGCGATATGCGTGACATAAACTTCACTACTTACAAAAATTATCAATATTGCATCATCGACAATGAGAACTTCAGCGTGTCTTACTGTAAACCTTGTTAGGGTCTACGTAAAAGAAAAAAAAAAAAGGAAAATGAATGTAATCTTATCGCAAAACGGTCGCACGAGGTTCAAAAGCCGGGCCCGACGAACTGTTTGTGTCTCCCACAACTCTCAGTTGCAACACTATTTCGCCACGAGTCTGTAAACATCTTTACGGTTCGAAAACAAATATTGTTCCAATGAGAACAATTTGTGAATTGTTATAACAATGCAAATCAGACAAAAGAAGCGGATCAATTTATTGCATGGTGGTGCATTAATGAGAGTGTTTATCACTGATTATGACGTGCTCTTACGCAAGAACAACTCGCAATGTAACTTATTATATGCTAAACGATTGCTAAGAGAAGATAATTAAAACAAAAACACAGGGTTATCGCTATTCTTACAATATATGACGAAAATGTAACATATATATATGTATATTTCGACATTAATAATTATTCGTCAAAATCTTTACATATTTGTAATAAAAGAGCAAGAATTCTATTTATATCTATGTTATTTTTACGCTGCATTAGAAGTTATACGAAAAAATCGATCGTTTTTCTTATTCTTATTTTTAGCTGATTCAATCAACGCGGTTTTTTTTGCGCTATATTTGAGAATTAAAACATATTTTACAATTCATTTAAATACACGAGACTTTAAACACAAGTAAAAGTAAAACATAAGACAAATATATATACAGAAAAAAAAAAACAAAGTCATCATTACAATTCTTATTTTTCTCTTATTTATATATAAATAAATTTGATATGAGCATAGATTTTCAATCTATCTTTTTAAAAATGAGTTTAAATGTGAAAGAAAATAATTGGTAAGTATGGAAGGACTATATAAATAAATACATTTATAAATATATATTTCGAAAGTACATAACTTTTGGAGATTACAGTTATATTTTAATTGTTTTTTTTTCTTTGTCATACAAGATATAAAAATGAAAAAGATTGCTATTCTCCTGTTCTTGTCTGATGATGAATGATAGATACAATGTCACATATATATACGTATCATTAATTTAATTACTTGATTGGAAATACTGTAGTGTGACTTATATTGCAGTACTTTAACTACAGTAGGATTACAATTCGTCGTGCGGTTTTTGAAGATGATATATTACGAAATCATACAGATCGTCGAGATTACGCGAGCCATTGTACTCGAAGACTTTACGTCCGTCTCGATACAAGAATAATGCCGGAAAACCTTCCACTTCTTGTTCGTTGCACAATTGTTTGCTTCCATCGAGCGTGCAATCGACCTTAGCGATATTTACGTTATTGTTAGTGAAAAACTTCTTACCCAACTCCTCCCATGTGGGTGCCAAGCGTTTGCAATGTCCGCACCAGGGTGCAAAGAACTTTACGAAGGAAAAACCTTTCTCAATACCATGCTGAAAACTATCAGCTGTCAAGCTCAATGTAGCATGCAGGGCACTATCATTGTCTTCCCTCTGTTGACTCGATTCGTCAGCACTCTTACTCAACATCATCGATATGTAGGCCTTCAGTTCTTCGTGAGTGCGCTCACCTGTGTATTTATCTATCTGGAAATTTATATTTTGTTTTCTTTTTGTATCAAAAAATTCAACATCAAAACACTTTTATGTTAATAATTCTCCTTTTTTTCAGTAGAAGAAAAAAAAGGATAATTCAATCAGTAATACCTTTTTTCCATCTTCAATCCACAGCAATGTGGGATATCCTTTAATGTCAAATTGGCCACAAATACTACGATGCTGGGTGCAGTCTATCTTAGAGATACTAACAATATCATCATTACAAAGACTGTTAGCTAATTTGTCCCATGTTGGTGCTAATTTTTGGCAGTGTCCACACCAAGGTGCATAAAACTTGACAAAATGATGTCCAAAAGAAACATGTTTTTCAAATGTTTTTTCTGTTAATTCTAACAATCCGTTCACTGCTTCTGGGGGAGATGGTGCAACATCTTCAAACTGGAAAATATTTGCTATAATATTAGCAATTTGATATAAAGAGTAACATAAAATTCAATGTAAGTCACGCATAAAAGTACACACCGTAAAGGAACTAGCTTGTTGTTCATTAATAAAGGCAAACAAAGAAGGTAAATCTCGAGTTCCTCTAAATTTGATGCCTTTGGTTTCTCCAGTTTTATAAAACTTCAGCCTGTATTTATAAATTACCAATGTATAATAATATAATGATTATAATATAATTTCAGGATTATTTAATGATTTATTATATATAGAGTAAGACACATAGGAACATTATCAGACATTGAAATATTAAAATTATAAACCATGGTTGTATAATATATATAAAAAGCTAAAATTCCTTCATTTGAATAGAACTTTTTTAATGGAGATTTCATTAACACAGATGGTAAAATAAGATAAATTAAATTACGTGGGATAGCCAGTAACATCTTGTTCACTACACAGAATGATCTCAGTTGTACAATCAACTTTGGCAATTCTTAGAGTATTATCCTCTTCATTTAATATTTCTGCTAATTGCTCCCATATAGGACCAAGTCTTTGGCAGTGTCCACACCTTTAAGAGAGAAAGAATTTCTTATCAATCATAATTAATATAGTACTCCAAATAGAGAAATTATTTCTTTCTTTCTCTTTTAATTTATAAATAACAATATATGTGTATATTTATAAATAACAATATATGTAACATATAAATAACAATATATGTGTATGTAATATGCATTTGTATATTTACCATGGTGCGTAAAACATAACAAAGTGATCCATTGTTTCAATCTCTGTAGAGAAATTCTCGCTAGTATACTGGAGAGTATGTACATCCTCATTGTGACCGTTACTAACTTGGCTCAACGTAAATAGAAAAAGCAAGATCTGTCGTTTCGACGCGATGAAATCCGCATAATTGATCGCCATCACGAGCAGCAAGTCTATTTATACAATATTCGATTCTTCCGCAAGCAAAATCTCCTCACGAGGAACACAAAGGATCGCCGAATCTTTCACCGACACATTCGAAACGAGTTTTAATCCCAAAGATACGCCTATCTCACGTGCTGAACGAAATATTCTTAAAAGGATGTCTATATCGCATAATGTTATATCGAAAACAGATGATATTTTAATGTTATATAATTTGAAAAATTTTTAAATTTTTTTGCAGCCGCAAGCCCTGTTGCTCCGAGACTCCGAGACTCGCGCGAACGGATCGAATCGCCGATTCCGCCCATCATATGATATAAAACAGTGAAAGCAACTGTGAAACTGGAACTACCCTCAATCCAGAATTGATCTCGTAATGTCACTAGCATGATGTAAGAAAATATATAAAAATATAAAAAATATAATAAAAATATAAAAATATATAAATATATTCTTACATCATGGTCACTAGTAGATCTTTTTTTGCCTGAAACGTAAAAGAGAATTCACATGTCCGATATACGACAGTTTGATATCCAATGGAAAATGTGGATTCTATAGGAACACCTTTGTTTCTAGAAAACAAACTCTCCTATTGGATATTGGACATCGGTCATTGAACCCAGTGTGAAACCTTCATAAAAGATAAAATGCAGCGTTTTCTCTGCCTCCTTCTTTGTAAAAAAAAAAAAAAATTTTCAGTTTTTCTGATTTTGTAGTCTTATGATATTCAGTCGATATATTATGCTTACTCGATCTATTATTTTTGTGTACACTTATTTGGTCGAAAAGGACGAATCTCTCGTAAGCTTACAAAAACAAACACCGTCATTTTTAATTTGACTATAGAAAATCTGTCATATATCTATTTAACAGATCATTGTTTTCTTAACGAGAGCACCAAATTTATATTTTGTTTTATTGTTTGCGCAAAAACACAAACATATAACACAGATAAATAACAGCTTATTTCGTCTAAATTGACGAGAAAAGAGTCTATATTTTGCATGTATCACATTGTGACATTGTAATTGCAAATTCAAAATAAATTATATCTTATTTATGAAGAGATAAAAAGTATAACATAAAAAGAGATCCGCGTGGAAAACAAAGATAACAGTCTAAAAATTTCTATAGCATTAAATTTCAACTGCGTGTGTGTGTGTGTGTGTGATTTCATCAACGTGTTACATATGTGCTGATTTTTTTGCGCATATAAACACTTTGACGTAAGAGTGCGGTATTAGTTTATATCTGATTGTGATTCGTTAATTTGTGAAAATATCAGAAAATATTATTGGTATACGAAAGAAGTGAAAGAAAATTCGGAAATCGAAAGCAATATGAGAATGTAATTGGCCAAGTTTGTTTTTAATGTAAAAAAGATAAGCCAGGAAGGTAAACACACACACAACTTAGTCCTCTCCTTATATATATATATATATTCACAAGGATATTTTGAACAGAAATAAATATAAAACATGAAAATCAACTTTTCTTTTTAATTATAATAATGTTGAAAAAAGAAATAATTTTGTGAACGAATTAGGGTTATAGTACCCATTTACACTATAAACAATAATAGTTTATGTAAAGAATATGCGCAGATCTTTTTTTTTACTTTTTCATACATAATTTGTGTGAAAAATATTTATAAAATTTTAATTTTTTGTAAAAGGACAAAGATGGCCGATAGAAAAAAATTGAAAATTTAGACTTTCTTCCTCTCTCTCTCTCTCTAATAAAATGACTATATGTATGCTATTTTTCTTGCTTTTAATAAAAAAATTAATTTTTTTTTTAACCTCTTAAAAGAAGTTAATGTAAAAAGAGCACAAATGTTTGTTTTTTTTTTTTTTTTAATCAAAAATATTAATGGTTTGTCATTAAATTCAGTCTTATAAAGGCATTGTGTGTGTATGCATTTAAATCTATATATTTTAGATTAAAATGAATATACGTGAGAATATTAAAAAGGCAACATCACTTGATTATGTAGATAATAATGCTACGTTCTTTCGACTGCCAGGACTAAGTCAAGCTGCAAAAGATCGAATGATGAATGATAGAAAAGTGAAGAAACCAAAAAACATACACGTTTGTACATATATTAATATGTAAAGCTAGATATATAAGAGAATACTTAATTTTATTTTACATTCACATTTTTATATAAAAAATATCTATTTTTACATATTCATTTAATTCTAGTTATTGGAAGACTCTGATAATGATAGCGAAGTTATTGATAATTTTATGAATAATAAAGTTAAACCTACTTTTGATAAACATGCTATTTCTGCTGCTATTAAAGAGGTAAGTTAATATTTTTATTTTTTTAAAAACAATTAAATTATTAGCCAAGAAATATTTAATATTTTGAATGGAAATAATAGCATTCAAATAGGATTTTAAGGTAAAAAAAATTGACTTTTAGAATGCCAAAAAATATATAGTTAAAAAGAAATGTGTGTATTTCATATATTTTAAGCAACTATGTACCTTTTAAGCATATATAAAAATTATATAATATAAGCAGTTAATATTGTACAGGTAAATGGTGGTCGTGATCTTTCAAATGAACATTGGGAAAAATATTACGAGAAATGTCTTGAGGATATAATTAATTCTGAGAAAGAAATATGTCAGAAGACTTCTGATCATAATAATGTAACAGCATGTTCTGGAAATCAATCTGAGGATTTAAACGATATATATATTAAACAGAAACATAAATTGTCTAGAAATGCTGCAATTATGAGTCTCCTAAGGAAAAAACAAATTTCGTTAGAAGACATAATTATTCCAAGCAAAACTTCTACAAAAAAAGATGAATTGGAAGCTTTAGTAAGTATATAAATAAATATCTCTCTCTGTTATGTAACATTGTTATATATTATAACATAAATGTAAAAAAAAATTTCTCATTTTACATCAGCGCGAAATGACCGATGGATGTATAATGGACAATGGTGAATATAATGATGATGGTCATGTGGAATCGGTTCCTCTTTATGAAGATCCTGAAATCTCTGTTCATCCTTTACAGATGGGAATAAATAAAAAAAAATTCAAAGATATAGATTTTACTGTATCACGTATTGGTAAGAAGAAAACAGAAACACCAAAAGAATATTTTCTTGAGGAAACTAGTGATGATTATTTTAATTTTGTAAAAAAGGGAAACAATACATTATAATAATTATATCGCGTTTATATTAAAACATATGTAATATAAAGGCAATACTGTCATCTTCTTTTCATTCAACAATTCAATGAATGATTGGGACTGATAATAAGTTAGAATGTGTATATTTATACAGACTCATACCATTAGGATATAAGCATGCAAGATTGTGAAGCTGTAATATAGATAGTCTCAAAGATATATTTATCAAACTAAAACAATATATATCAATAAAAATAGAAGTACTTTGAGAATGTAATATTATTTTGATAATATAAGTATTATATAATTATTATATTATCAAGATCTTCAAGGAACACGTTACATTGGATTATAAGATACCGAGTAAATGTTTTACACACTATTCATAGATTATGTTATAAGAACTGCAAACTTTATTATACATATATTACACACGTTTTATAGTTTTAATGATATTCTAGTGCCTTTTTGAGATATAACAAGATTATAAAGATGGGACTTGGTAAAAAACTCTAACGTTTCCTTTTATGACAATAAATATTAAAGCCATATAGTTTCTAAAGAAAATGTTCATACATACTTCCAGAAAAGGATATAATATAGCAACTTTCTCACAAGTCATTATGTTGTTATACATGGTATGAGATGATACTGTATATACTTATTGTTAACAAGAGATGGTTACTGTAATTTTTCTAAATAAATTCTTTTTTTATCCTCCTATTTGCTACAATTTGATACAATTAAAAATTGAAAAATATATTAAACTTCAGCTTCTCTAATAATTAACTTTATTTTATTATTAGCACTGAAAAATTTATTTTATTAAATTAAAAACTTGCCAGATGAGGCAAAATAAAATCGAAAATATTTTTCTAAACATATGAGCGCAAATATCGTTCTGAAACGTTTCAAACGTATATTTTTTCATTATCTTATAAATAAAATATAATTTAATTATATAAAATGCGCAAAGAGAAAGTCATCTTATCTAATTTGTATTCTACCTCTGTCAAGTATAAAGTTTAAAATAGCTTAAAGTTTATTTCAAGTTGAATACACATATACATACATACAACTTGCAACTTTCTTTATCGCATCTCGGGTCGTCGTATCTTTTGAACCTTATATTAATAAAAATTGCGCACGTGATCACCTCAATATGAGAGGAATCATCTAAGAAAGTGCGATGTTCTGATTTCTCTTACAGGACAAATATACCGAAGGAAATAATGCAGATACCTGATTTTCCCTTTAAAAATCAGGGGGGTCCATCTTTTGCTCATCATAGTCTAATAAGGGAATATCTTTTGGACTATGCAAAACAGTTCAATCTCTATCCTTACATTAAAGTGAGTTCTTGAATTATATAAACTGTGAAACTCAAAAAATCGAAATAATTTATCTCTTATCTATTTGTTCTATTTAAATATATGACATATGAAAGTAAGAAGAAGCATAATAAAAACATTTCTTCGTCAGTTTGAAGAGCAAAGTTTCGCACTATAGCTTATTATTTTTGATTTTTGATTTTTCTTTTTCAGTTGAATACCCTGGTGAAAAACGTGGAGCCGGAGATTTTGAAAAACGGCCAGACGCTGTGGACGGTGACATACAAGGATTTGGAATCCAAAGTAGAGACCACTAAAACTTTTGATGCCGTTGTGTTGTGCAACGGTCATTACACTATCGGTCATGTTCCGCATACTCCAGGTATCGAAAGCTTCCACGGTGAATGCATTCACAGTCATCAATACAGAATGCCGGAGATATATGCTGGCAAAAAGGTCTGCATACTCGGCGCGTCCTGGTCCGGTATTGATATCGCAATGGAAGTCTCACAATACGCTGACAAAGTACGTACTCTCCCTATCATTAATTATTTTCGCCAGATGTAAAAGAAAAACTCTTTTTTTTATTTCTAATATTTGGGAATAATATTGGGTAATCGATTTATAATGTTATTAAAAGTTATAAAATCTTGTTGTATAGATATAGCAATGACATATACAGAATAATACCCATAATTTAACGTAACCTTTCTGTTATTAATTTAGGTGTATTTAAGTCATAATTGGACGGAACATTTTAACTCGAAGATGTCGAGCAACGTCGAGCAAAGACCCAATATCGAATCCATCCAAGGAAACGTCTTCATCTTCCGCGATGGCTCCTCGGCGGAAGTGGACAGTTTCATATATTGCACTGGTAACGACTCAATATATTCGGAATATTTAATGAAACTCGACTTTCATTATTTATAATAATTTATTTTTGTCAGGTTACAAATTCACGTATCCCTTTATGTCAACTAAAGTTGAGATACGTACGGATGATAACCACGTGGAACCCATCTACAAACATCTGGTGCACATGGATTACACGAGTCTGTTCTTCATGGGTTTACCAGCGATCGTGGTACCATTCCCAATGTTCCACATTCAAGCACAATACATTCTCGCAGTTCTCGAAGGCCGTATTCAATTGCCATCGCCGCAAAGAATGCGCGAGGAATACGAGATCGAGAAGAAGTCACTATTGGAGCAAGGCATTCAGGTAAGATTCGCGATTAATTTCTCCAATGTCTCCGCGATAGAAAAAAAGTTGCATCTTAAGAAATGTGGTGGTAGAATAGCGAAAAGTTGTTCTTTTTTAAAAAAGAAACATAATATAATATACATACATGTGATATACTAGCGCATAAATTTATCTAAAAAAGATGACATTACATTACAATAATTACTTTCTTCATTGTTAGCTGAGACATATCAATAAACTCAAAGACAGGCAATGGGCTTACTACGACGAGATCGCGGCCGCTGCCAATGTGCCGAGTTTTCCACCGGTGATCAGGAAAATCTTCGATCACGTTAGCGATATGCGTGACATAAACTTCACTACTTACAAAAATTATCAATATTGCATCATCGACAATGAGAACTTCAGCGTGTCTTACTGTAAACCTTGTTAGGGTCTACGTAAAAGAAAAAAAAAAAAGGAAAATGAATGTAATCTTATCGCAAAACGGTCGCACGAGGTTCAAAAGCCGGGCCCGACGAACTGTTTGTGTCTCCCACAACTCTCAGTTGCAACACTATTTCGCCACGAGTCTGTAAACATCTTTACGGTTCGAAAACAAATATTGTTCCAATGAGAACAATTTGTGAATTGTTATAACAATGCAAATCAGACAATAGAAGCGGATCAATTTATTGCATGGTGGTGCATTAATGAGAGTGTTTATCACTGATTATGACGTGCTCTTACGCAAGAACAACTCGCAATGTAACTTATTATATGCTAAACGATTGCTAAGAGAAGATAATTAAAACAAAAACACAGGGTTATCGCTATTCTTACAATATATGACGAAAATGTAACATATATATATGTATATTTCGACATTAATAATTATTCGTCAAAATCTTTACATATTTGTAATAAAAGAGCAAGAATTCTATTTATATCTATGTTATTTTTACGCTGCATTAGAAGTTATACGAAAAAATCGATCGTTTTTCTTATTCTTATTTTTAGCTGATTCAATCAACGCGGTTTTTTTTGCGCTATATTTGAGAATTAAAACATATTTTACAATTCATTTAAATACACGAGACTTTAAACACAAGTAAAAGTAAAACATAAGACAAATATATATACAGAAAAAAAAAAACAAAGTCATCATTACAATTCTTATTTTTCTCTTATTTATATATAAATAAATTTGATATGAGCATAGATTTTCAATCTATCTTTTTAAAAATGAGTTTAAATGTGAAAGAAAATAATTGGTAAGTATGGAAGGACTATATAAATAAATACATTTATAAATATATATTTCGAAAGTACATAACTTTTGGAGATTACAGTTATATTTTAATTGTTTTTTTTTCTTTGTCATACAAGATATAAAAATGAAAAAGATTGCTATTCTCCTGTTCTTGTCTGATGATGAATGATAGATACAATGTCACATATATATACGTATCATTAATTTAATTACTTGATTGGAAATACTGTAGTGTGACTTATATTGCAGTACTTTAACTACAGTAGGATTACAATTCGTCGTGCGGTTTTTGAAGATGATATATTACGAAATCATACAGATCGTCGAGATTACGCGAGCCATTGTACTCGAAGACTTTACGTCCGTCTCGATACAAGAATAATGCCGGAAAACCTTCCACTTCTTGTTCGTTGCACAATTGTTTGCTTCCATCGAGCGTGCAATCGACCTTAGCGATATTTACGTTATTGTTAGTGAAAAACTTCTTACCCAACTCCTCCCATGTGGGTGCCAAGCGTTTGCAATGTCCGCACCAGGGTGCAAAGAACTTTACGAAGGAAAAACCTTTCTCAATACCATGCTGAAAACTATCAGCTGTCAAGCTCAATGTAGCATGCAGGGCACTATCATTGTCTTCCCTCTGTTGACTCGATTCGTCAGCACTCTTACTCAACATCATCGATATGTAGGCCTTCAGTTCTTCGTGAGTGCGCTCACCTGTGTATTTATCTATCTGGAAATTTATATTTTGTTTTCTTTTTGTATCAAAAAATTCAACATCAAAACACTTTTATGTTAATAATTCTCCTTTTTTTCAGTAGAAGAAAAAAAAGGATAATTCAATCAGTAATACCTTTTTTCCATCTTCAATCCACAGCAATGTGGGATATCCTTTAATGTCAAATTGGCCACAAATACTACGATGCTGGGTGCAGTCTATCTTAGAGATACTAACAATATCATCATTACAAAGACTGTTAGCTAATTTGTCCCATGTTGGTGCTAATTTTTGGCAGTGTCCACACCAAGGTGCATAAAACTTGACAAAATGATGTCCAAAAGAAACATGTTTTTCAAATGTTTTTTCTGTTAATTCTAACAATCCGTTCACTGCTTCTGGGGGAGATGGTGCAACATCTTCAAACTGGAAAATATTTGCTATAATATTAGCAATTTGATATAAAGAGTAACATAAAATTCAATGTAAGTCACGCATAAAAGTACACACCGTAAAGGAACTAGCTTGTTGTTCATTAATAAAGGCAAACAAAGAAGGTAAATCTCGAGTTCCTCTAAATTTGATGCCTTTGGTTTCTCCAGTTTTATAAAACTTCAGCCTGTATTTATAAATTACCAATGTATAATAATATAATGATTATAATATAATTTCAGGATTATTTAATGATTTATTATATATAGAGTAAGACACATAGGAACATTATCAGACATTGAAATATTAAAATTATAAACCATGGTTGTATAATATATATAAAAAGCTAAAATTCCTTCATTTGAATAGAACTTTTTTAATGGAGATTTCATTAACACAGATGGTAAAATAAGATAAATTAAATTACGTGGGATAGCCAGTAACATCTTGTTCACTACACAGAATGATCTCAGTTGTACAATCAACTTTGGCAATTCTTAGAGTATTATCCTCTTCATTTAATATTTCTGCTAATTGCTCCCATATAGGACCAAGTCTTTGGCAGTGTCCACACCTTTAAGAGAGAAAGAATTTCTTATCAATCATAATTAATATAGTACTCCAAATAGAGAAATTATTTCTTTCTTTCTCTTTTAATTTATAAATAACAATATATGTGTATATTTATAAATAACAATATATGTAACATATAAATAACAATATATGTGTATGTAATATGCATTTGTATATTTACCATGGTGCGTAAAACATAACAAAGTGATCCATTGTTTCAATCTCTGTAGAGAAATTCTCGCTAGTATACTGGAGAGTATGTACATCCTCATTGTGACCGTTACTAACTTGGCTCAACGTAAATAGAAAAAGCAAGATCTGTCGTTTCGACGCGATGAAATCCGCATAATTGATCGCCATCACGAGCAGCAAGTCTATTTATACAATATTCGATTCTTCCGCAAGCAAAATCTCCTCACGAGGAACACAAAGGATCGCCGAATCTTTCACCGACACATTCGAAACGAGTTTTAATCCCAAAGATACGCCTATCTCACGTGCTGAACGAAATATTCTTAAAAGGATGTCTATATCGCATAATGTTATATCGAAAACAGATGATATTTTAATGTTATATAATTTGAAAAATTTTTAAATTTTTTTGCAGCCGCAAGCCCTGTTGCTCCGAGACTCCGAGACTCGCGCGAACGGATCGAATCGCCGATTCCGCCCATCATATGATATAAAACAGTGAAAGCAACTGTGAAACTGGAACTACCCTCAATCCAGAATTGATCTCGTAATGTCACTAGCATGATGTAAGAAAATATATAAAAATATAAAAAATATAATAAAAATATAAAAATATATAAATATATTCTTACATCATGGTCACTAGTAGATCTTTTTTTGCCTGAAACGTAAAAGAGAATTCACATGTCCGATATACGACAGTTTGATATCCAATGGAAAATGTGGATTCTATAGGAACACCTTTGTTTCTAGAAAACAAACTCTCCTATTGGATATTGGACATCGGTCATTGAACCCAGTGTGAAACCTTCATAAAAGATAAAATGCAGCGTTTTCTCTGCCTCCTTCTTTGTAAAAAAAAAAAAAAAATTTCAGTTTTTCTGATTTTGTAGTCTTATGATATTCAGTCAATATATTATGCTTACTCGATCTATTATTTTTGTGTACACTTATTTGGTCGAAAAGGACGAATCTCTCGTAAGCTTACAAAAACAAACACCGTCATTTTTAATTTGACTATAGAAAATCTGTCATATATCTATTTAACAGATCATTGTTTTCTTAACGAGAGCACCAAATTTATATTTTGTTTTATTGTTTGCGCAAAAACACAAACATATAACACAGATAAATAACAGCTTATTTCGTCTAAATTGACGAGAAAAGAGTCTATATTTTGCATGTATCACATTGTGACATTGTAATTGCAAATTCAAAATAAATTATATCTTATTTATGAAGAGATAAAAAGTATAACATAAAAAGAGATCCGCGTGGAAAACAAAGATAACAGTCTAAAAATTTCTATAGCATTAAATTTCAACTGCGTGTGTGTGTGTGTGTGTGATTTCATCAACGTGTTACATATGTGCTGATTTTGCGCATTTGATAAACACTTTGACGTAAGAGTGCGGTATTAGTTTATATCTGATTGTGATTCGTTAATTTGTGAAAATATCAGAAAATATTGAAAGTATACGAAAGAAGTGAAAGAAAATTCGGAAATCGAAAGCAATATGAGAATGTAATTGGCCAAGTTTGTTTTTAATGTAAAAAAGATAAGCCAGGAAGGTAAACACACACACAACTTAGTCCTCTCCTTATATATATATATATATTCACAAGGATATTTTGAACAGAAATAAATATAAAACATGAAAATCAACTTTTCTTTTTAATTATAATAATGTTGAAAAAAGAAATAATTTTGTGAACGAATTAGGGTTATAGTACCCATTTACACTATAAACAATAATAGTTTATGTAAAGAATATGCGCAGATCTTTTTTTTTACTTTTTCATACATAATTTGTGTGAAAAATATTTATAAAATTTTAATTTTTTGTAAAAGGACAAAGATGGCCGATAGAAAAAAATTGAAAATTTAGACTTTCTTCCTCTCTCTCTCTCTCTAATAAAATGACTATATGTATGCTATTTTTCTTGCTTTTAATAAAAAAATTAATTTTTTTTTTAACCTCTTAAAAGAAGTTAATGTAAAAAGAGCACAAATGTTTGTTTTTTTTTTTTTTTTTTTCAAAAATATTAATGGTTTGTCATTAAATTCAGTCTTATAAAGGCATTGTGTGTGTATGCATTTAAATCTATATATTTTAGATTAAAATGAATATACGTGAGAATATTAAAAAGGCAACATCACTTGATTATGTAGATAATAATGCTACGTTCTTTCGACTGCCAGGACTAAGTCAAGCTGCAAAAGATCGAATGATGAATGATAGAAAAGTGAAGAAACCAAAAAACATACACGTTTGTACATATATTAATATGTAAAGCTAGATATATAAGAGAATACTTAATTTTATTTTACATTCACATTTTTATATAAAAAATATCTATTTTTACATATTCATTTAATTCTAGTTATTGGAAGACTCTGATAATGATAGCGAAGTTATTGATAATTTTATGAATAATAAAGTTAAACCTACTTTTGATAAACATGCTATTTCTGCTGCTATTAAAGAGGTAAGTTAATATTTTTATTTTTTTAAAAACAATTAAATTATTAGCCAAGAAATATTTAATATTTTGAATGGAAATAATAGCATTCAAATAGGATTTTAAGGTAAAAAAAAGTTGACTTTTAGAATGCCAAAAAATATATAGTTAAAAAGAAATGTGTGTATTTCATATATTTTAAGCAACTATGTACCTTTTAAGCATATATAAAAATTATATAATATAAGCAGTTAATATTGTACAGGTAAATGGTGGTCGTGATCTTTCAAATGAACATTGGGAAAAATATTACGAGAAATGTCTTGAGGATATAATTAATTCTGAGAAAGAAATATGTCAGAAGACTTCTGATCATAATAATGTAACAGCATGTTCTGGAAATCAATCTGAGGATTTAAACGATATATATATTAAACAGAAACATAAATTGTCTAGAAATGCTGCAATTATGAGTCTCCTAAGGAAAAAACAAATTTCGTTAGAAGACATAATTATTCCAAGCAAAACTTCTACAAAAAAAGATGAATTGGAAGCTTTAGTAAGTATATAAATAAATATCTCTCTCTGTTATGTAACATTGTTATATATTATAACATAAATGTAAAAAAAAATTTCTCATTTTACATCAGCGCGAAATGACCGATGGATGTATAATGGACAATGGTGAATATAATGATGATGGTCATGTGGAATCGGTTCCTCTTTATGAAGATCCTGATATCTCTGTTCATCCTTTACAGATGGGAATAAATAAAAAAAAATTCAAAGATATAGATTTTACTGTATCACGTATTGGTAAGAAGAAAACAGAAACACCAAAAGAATATTTTCTTGAGGAAACTAGTGATGATTATTTTAATTTTGTAAAAAAGGGAAACAATACATTATAATAATTATATCGCGTTTATATTAAAACATATGTAATATAAAGGCAATACTGTCATCTTCTTTTCATTCAACAATTCAATGAATGATTGGGACTGATAATAAGTTAGAATGTGTATATTTATACAGACTCATACCATTAGGATATAAGCATGCAAGATTGTGAAGCTGTAATATAGATAGTCTCAAAGATATATTTATCAAACTAAAACAATATATATCAATAAAAATAGAAGTACTTTGAGAATGTAATATTATTTTGATAATATAAGTATTATATAATTATTATATTATCAAGATCTTCAAGGAACACGTTACATTGGATTATAAGATACCGAATAAATGTTTTACACACTATTCATAGATTATGTTATAAGAACTGCAAACTTTATTATACATATATTACACACGTTTTATAGTTTTAATGATATTCTAGTGCCTTTTTGAGATATAACAAGATTATAAAGATGGGACTTGGTAAAAAACTCTAACGTTTCCTTTTATGACAATAAATATTAAAGCCATATAGTTTCTAAAGAAAATGTTCATACATACTTCCAGAAAAGGATATAATATAGCAACTTTCTCACAAGTCATTATGTTGTTATACATGGTATGAGATGATACTGTATATACTTATTGTTAACAAGAGATGGTTACTGTAATTTTTCTAAATAAATCTATATAAATATATAAAAAATATAGTGTTAATAAAATCGATCAGTAATATAAACAGAAGCTGTTACCGCTTTATATTCAATTATCATATTAATACTTACAGATATTTTATAAGCAAAGAAATTTTTATATGAAATGTATTATATGAATGTATTATAATACATTTATACATGTTATTATAATATTATTACAAATATAAATTTATTTTTTAAGATTTAAATTTTAAAAATATAGAAATTGAAAGCAAAGAATTTGATAAAAGCACATTTGTTGGGTTCATATTGACGCTATATTGTGACAAGTTCTATCACATTATAGCTTTGCCATCAGTAATAAGTTTCTTAAACACTTGTTCTATACTTTTAATGATTTCAGAAGTTGTAAAAGATGATTATTTTTGATATATATTAAAATAATTCTATATTTTTATCAAAAAACAAACTTTAGACTATGCTAACATTACTGCAAAAAATAACCGACATTTTACTTTATACAAAAAGATATGTAAAAGTTAGCTGCCTTAAATTATTATATAACATTATTTTTAATCATATCCAGTTTTGTAATAAATAGCAATATTAGTATCAAACCATCAATAATATTATATTTGAATATAAATTTGACTATATACATACAAATGAGTTTACAAATCGACAATTATAATATACAATTTATAGAATTATAAAGTTATATGTATTAGAAATTGTCACCTAAAATTCTATTGTAGAAAGAGAGAGAAAGAGAGTATTTCTATTCAATATATCTTAAGATAGTTATGACATGTCATTGAACAAAAGTAACATTCAAATTTGAAAGGTTGATTTAATGTATTTTTTATATGAATACTAAATTTAGATGAATAAAAGTGCGTAAAAATTCTTGAATAACGATCAAAACAGGCATTTTTACAGGAAAAGCAATATTTTGCTTCGTCTAAATATTGGACTAATGTATATGGTATTAAACTTGCATCATAAGTTATCCTGAAAAAATATAAAAATTATTATTCAAGTATTATATATTTCGAGCGTCCAATTATATACATATATTACAAATAGAAAAAAGTAAAAATAATGAAAACCTGGATTTTAACACATTTCTAGCTGAAGATTCAATAAGACTTGGCAGTCCTATGAAAGTGCTCTTATCAAATACGATATTATGATCTACAATCATTGAAAATAAATTATCTGAAATATCTAAAGAGCATAATCGCAAATGTTGGATTGTTCCTGGTAAGAACATTAAATTGTTTTTTGCCACATCCAACAATTGCAATTTATTCAAAGTTCCAATATTTTGTGGTAATTGTTTTAACATATTGTCACGAATTTTCAACTCTCTTAAAGCTTTTAGCCATCCAATTTGTACTGGTAATTCAGTTAACTATAAATAATAAATTATTAATAATAGTAATGAAAAGTAAATCTTTCATAAATATAAAATTGGTTTTATCAATTAATCTTATGATACTATAATAATACAACTTACTAAATTATTACTAATATTTAGAAAATCTAAATTGTTTCTAAGTGCAGTTTGCTCTAGCCATGCCCATTTAGATCGAACTGATTTTCCAAGGTTATTACATGACAGATTTAGAGCTTGAAGATGAGGCAAAGTACCCAACTCCTTTGGTAAGAAAGAAATTTTATTGTTTGATAAATCTAAAAATCTTAAACTCTGCAATGTCAGAATTTGTCGATCAAAGGATTTTCTATCCAATCCACTCAAAACAAGTTGTTCTGTCATTCGTGGGAATCCTTGTAAAATTGGATATTCAGATTTTTTCTTCACCACAACTTTTTGCAATGAATAGAATTCACTTGAACTAAAAGTTGTATTAGATTTAAGAACATATTTATTTATATCTTTGCAATGCCCGTCTGTTATATGTTTCAGTATATTAAGAAAGCTTTTCAACTGAATAGCATCACTCTGAATGATTAGATCATGACAGGGTTCTATCAAACTTATTGTAGCTTTACCATCGGTAATAAATTTCTTGAATACTTTTCTTATGTTGTTAGTAATCTGAAAAAGTTGTAAAAAGATATTGTTTTATCTATCATATATGTCTTCAAGAATAAAGAGAACTGCACAGTTCTAAGATTGTGCAAACAATTATAAAATATTCCTGCTAATCTATCTCGTATAATTTTGAAAGAAATCTAATAGACGATTTATGATTAAATAAGGAATCTCTGTGTCACATATTACCTTATACTTAGTCCCTTGCTTGTTCAGCCGTGTCCACAAATAGAAACATACATTGTTATCTTTAACTGAATCTTTAGCATATGCTAATATAGAACGTTGCGATTTTCTATGCAACGACAATGTTCTATCGTGAATTTCAATTTTACAATGTAACTTCATTGTTTATTGTTTATATTGTTTTATGTGAATATATCAAGTCAAATTGAATTGATTGATAACAGTATCTCGTTGGTGTGACCGCGTCAATATCAATATTAAATTAAATTGAATGATTATTTCACGAGATTATAATATCACACACACATACACACATACAATAACACAAATAATAATACAGTCACATTTATTAAGTCATTTTTTAAGAATTTAATTACTTATTTGAAATTTATAAATTGTTAATAGCCGCGTGAAAAATTCTTTGTTGGGCTATATATAATATATTTAATATATTTCAAATATCACCGAGACACACAAATAGTAAAATAAAAATAGAAAATTTATATATGCATTGTAAAATTTATGAGTGGTATGTGTTACAAAAAAAAACAGTTACGCACATAATCGATTGTATGCAAGTTTGTGAGGTGTGCACGTTTCTGAATGCGCGCGAAAGGATAAACTCTGAACTAGTGCAGCCAATTCAGCTATAAAGAACAGACCCATATATATAATGTTAGTACGCGGCCGGGTTTTTCGCGCATGTGCGGCGATATATACATACCAATGAAACTTGAAACAGCGGCTTATATTGGGTGCGTTCAGGAGACACAACCGTTGAGTAGCAATCGAACGTGATTGGTTCTTACTTCTAGAACCAACAAATCAACGTCGAGTATTGACAAGACGATGCTCAACAGTTGTGTTTCTTGAACGCGCCCAGTGGATAATTGGTCGCAAGAATTTTGGCGGGGTCGCAGACAATCAGAAGAGGTTAAGCAAATAAAAGTCTTATTGTTAGATAAGATTATGTAAATATATTGTTATAAATAATAATAATTATAATTTCTATTTAAATAATATGGATTATCTAACGTAGCAAAACAAGCTAGTATAAAAATATAAAGTTAAAGAAATAAAAAATTTTTAGAAAAGTTTTAGCGCACGCGGTACCGCTTTTTGCGTATGCTAGGTACTTTATTGATACCGCGCTTGCCGCGCATGCGCGAAAAACCCGGTCCGCGTATTAACCTATCAACAGTCGCGTGTAGTGGGAGATGTGGTAGGAGAATAATCCCTTTCTATCTGGGAACATTGGCGGGAATGGAACAGAATAGAGCGCCACGGCGTGTAATGCACGGTTATAGAAGTACGTAACACGGTAAGAAACGAATGCGTATATACGCGCAATTCTGTGAAAAGTGAGAAATTTTCATCGTTCATCGCGCGTCCATCTCACTCTTTATTGCACGAGGCTTGTAATATCGACGGCGTTATTTGCCTCTATTAATGATCTGTGTATATATATGCGTGCGTGCATGCGTGCATGAAGCGAGACACGCGGTTCATAGTACACACACGCTTTGCCGCCGAACTGACGCTCAATGAAATCTCGTTCTAGATCGATAAATATCACGCGCAACATAACCCACGTTCTCTCGTAATCTGTAAAACTGGACGGCGTTTCATCGATCGCAACGTCATCCACGAGGTAAGCGCCCTTAAGACTTTTCTCAACCGTTGATATACAAGCTGACAGCTGGCCACGCAATTCATCACTTGTTTCGCATTTCTTTTTTTCGTCGCTACCGAGTGTAATAATATAGCGAGTAAATTGATGCCATATGCGAGGAATAGTTGCAGCTCTGTAAATATTTTTATTTTTATATGTAACGCAGAAAGCAAATAAATAATGTGTTTCTAATATTACAAAGTATATATATTGATATTGCTGTTTGCCAATATATAGTATGTATAACACACTAATAGGCATATAATAATAATATATTAACTTAAAAAAAAGGAAGAAGAAACATTATTTAATCGAGTTTTATTTGCAATATTCAGATCTATATTTTTATATGTACATCTATTCTGAATAAATATTTGCAAATAATACATATTCATATCTCATATTTTTTAAAATATAATTACTACTTATATATATAATTTATGCACAACAAATCATTTATTAACTGAAATCATGGTCTATAATATTTTCTAAATTATTTAGAGATTGATAATAGGGGAGGGATGATAATAATATAAATATTTTTCATGAACTTAGAATCATGCCACCTACTGTGCCAGAAGGCGAACCAGGTTCCAGCAGTAGGAGAATGTCTCGTAGCAGAAAATTTGTTGATATAGAAGAACCAATTGCAGCAAGTAATTCGACGACTAAAGCAACTCCATCTGTATTGGATTTACTTGTCATACAATCAACGAAAAGGAAAAAGCTAAACAATGAAGCAAACCATGAGACAAAAGTGCCTGATCGGCAACATGAAATAAAAGAAACTGATAAAAATGGTACAGTAGAATTTAATAAGGAAAATCACAATCCACAAATAAACCAAGATCAAGAAGAAAACGTCGAGAAAAAAATGAAAATGGACAACAACGAAGAAATATCTCAATTAAAATCTCAAGTTAAGAGAACCCTTAATATAATTGAACGATGCGATTATTGTAAACAGAAGTTGGATGATGAAACAAAATTGTATCAGGGACATCCAAATGGTGCAATGGAAGAACAAATAGCTTTAACGGATCCTAAGCTGTGTTTATTTACAGGAGATGAATCTTTTATACATGAAAGCGATGAGAGACCACAAAATAAATTAACTTATTTTAGGTAAGTTTTATGTATTTTCATTCATTTTATATATATAATAAGTACGTATATATATAAAACATCTTTTTATATTATATGACTGATGGAAAGATTATTCTTTTTAGTGTTTATGATAAGAATGGGCATTTGTGTGCCTTTGACACTGGACTCATAGAGAAAAATGTAATGTTGTATTTTTCTGGATACATGAAAGCTATTTATGAAGAAGATCCTTCTCCCGAAGGAGGTGTACCGACAAAAGATATGGGGCCAATAAATGAATGGTATGTTTCTGGATTTGATGGAGGAGAATTGGCATTGATAGGTTTTAATACTGCATTTGCGGAATATATTTTGATGGAACCATCTGAAGCTTACGCACCGTACATGGACGCTGTTAAAGAGAAGATATATATGAGCAAATTAGTTATAGAATTTTTGCTAGATGAAATTAGCCCAACCTATGAAGACTTACTAAACAAACTTCAAGTAAGTTTATTATCTCATATTTTAACATTTTAATTCATTTTTTCAATACAGATATTGTATCATTCTTGCATTATTGCAGACTGTGGTACCTCCTAAAGGTATGACAAAGTTCACAGAAGACGCATTGTTGCGTCACGCACAATTTATTTGCGATCAAGTTTCATCATTCGATGATTCTGCCAATGCTGAAGATAGTCTTCTCATTACGACTCCTTGTATGCGATCTCTCGCAAATCTCGCTGGTGTTACATTAGGTAAAAAAGCAGCAATTCGTCGGACGAGGCGCGAGCAAAAAGTTAAGAAGCCTGCATGGACAAAGGCTACAACAACAAAATTAGTTAGCAACACATTTGAAAATATTTTTGCTGATCAACTTGCTAAACATGAGGATAAAATATCGATAGTATGTATATAGCATGTATATCATTTTTATGATTATTAATTATAAAATAAAGTTAAGAAATATTTTTTTCTTTATGCTAGGGACCTAAAAGACAACGATGTGGTGTTTGCGAAAACTGTCAACAACCTGACTGTGGTATTTGTACTTCTTGTAAAGATATGACAAAATTTGGAGGCAGTGGAAGAAGTAAGCAAGCATGTATCAAGAGAAGATGTCCAAATATGGCAATCCAGGTATGAATCAAAATTTAAGTTTGTATGTTATATTAGTCACTTGTTACTAAAGTGGTATAATATATATTTAAAAATGGATTCAATTAATTTTTTTATATTTCTTTTATATTTTTTCATCATAACATTTAATTAAGTACATTTCTATATATGTAGGAAGCAGATGATTCTGATCCAGAAAATGAAGAGCAATATGAAAGTCTAGTAGAAGATCAAAAAGTGGAAGAGAAACCAAAAAAGGATTTTAAAGAACTTAAAAAAGACATAGTATGGGAAGAAGAAGATAAAATTGTTGATGGGCAAAAGACATATTATAAATCAGTCATAGTTGGAAATGAAAGAATTCAAATAAACGATTATGTTTTGGTAGAACCAAGAAATCCGGCAATTCCTTTACATATTTATAAAATCATGTTTATGTGGGAAAATAAAAATGGAGTAAAACAATTTCATGCAAATTGGCTTCGTAGAGGTACTGATACCATACTTGGTGAAACTTCAGATCCTATAGAATTATTTCTAAGTGATGATTGCGACGATGTACCATTTACATCTGTTAGTTCGAAAGCAAGCGTTGTTCACAAGAAAATGCCTGATAATTGGTCTGAATTAGGTAAGAATGTCAGATAATCGAAATTATTTATTAATTTAATTTTTCCAGTATTTTATTTCTGTATTTATACATAATTATATGCAATTTTATATTACAGGTAATATGGATATAGATGATGAAATAAAAGATATAGATGGTAAAACATTTTTTTATCAGATGAAATATACTCCTGAAACTGCTCGATTTGAGAGTCCGTTACCGGATCCGGAATGCCTGCGAAAAGAAAATAGTCATCGATTTTGTCCTGCTTGCGCAAGGCTAAGGGCATTAGAACAATATAATACACCTAAGGTAAAAAATGTTTAATAAAAAGTTGTATTCTAAATGTCCCGAAAATTTAAATTACAAAAATTGTTTAAGAAGTCTCGTTTTTGTCTACTTAGGTTTTTGAGCGTATAGAAGAAAAGAGCATTAAGGAAGTGATTTATGGAGTAGTGAGATATAAAGATGAAGAATATAGAGTTGGCAGTGCAGTGTTTTTGTACCCAAGTGCTTTTAAATTTAAGTATAAACAGATGTTTCAAGAAGCTGAGAAACCAAAGAGGGAAATTGTAGATGAAGATATGTATCCAGAGTTTTATAGAAAAGTCTCGGAAAAAGCAAAATTCTCAAATGTTGATACACCCGAACCTTTCCACATTGGTTATATAAATGCAATTTATGCCAGTACAACTGATTTAATAGTATCGCCTTCAGACATTTATATTAAAGTAAACAAAATGTACAGACCGGAGAATACTCATCGAGATGTAACATTAATGGAGCAAGTAGATCTCAACATGGTTTATTGGAGTGACGAGAGTAAGTTATGATCATTTAAGAAGATCTTTTTGTCAATTCTTTGTCAATTTAAATTCCATATTTCTAATATTA